CCCCCCCCCCCTTCCCTCCCCGCCTTTCTCTCTCTTTCTCTGTGTCAAAGCACAGTTGAATACCCAGATATACCGTCTCTCCTACACAGACACACTCGTATACACAGAAGGACGCAGAAATAGCTTGCTTCATGTAGAATTCCAGTTGTTCTTGGGTTTCTGAAGTCCGAGGTGTGTGAAAGCATGAATGGGTTTACGTGATTAGGAAGTGTGATCAGAGGAGACCGTAAGAGCATGGTACATGCAGGAGCTCTGAGACCTGCTGAACTTCTGTATACCATTTCTAGCCCGATTGAAAGGAGGTTATTCCATATGCATGGGATTTGCGAATTGTTAATGGTGTCATCTTATGACATTATCTGAAAACTGGGGATCTTTCTGTGGAAGTTATGATATACTATAGCTAGCGCGATTCCGAGAGTCCTGACCTGCAAGATGGCCGCCCCTGGAATCATTTTTGTTGGCGTCCATTCTTACAACAGTCACTGTGCCGGTAATGCTGTCAAGTATCAGAGATTACATGGAACCTTCACAGAAAGAACAGTTTGTTGGTGGAGTCGATCACAGGTAGACTTCTTTCCCTTGTGTTAGGCAATCGCCTCTATCGATCCTCAAGAGGCCATAGCCCAGATGCATGGAAACTAGTAGTTGTGGTGATATGGTCGAATCGTCATGATGACGTGAGGTGCAAGAGGACGCACATTGTATTTCCTCAAGCTTTGGAGGAAAGGATGGAAGAGAGGAAGGGAGAAGTTTCGGCAAAACCAAGGTGTATGCATCATGAATGTATGATGAAGACTGCAAGGGAATTTCAGGCACGATCAGACACTTGGCATGCTCTTGTATGTGTGTGTCATGCCATTCTGCAGGAACCTGGTCGAGAATAGTGGGGAAATTCAGGCACACACTTGTATGCTTAACGTACACATGGGACAGTGTTGGTAAACGAGCTTCCCTGTGTTAAGGTGTAAATCAGGACATGAGTAAGCGCTGAGAAACCTTTTCCTTCTTTCGCTATCGCGATCTGGGTCGTCTCCCGTGTCTCCATCTTCGTCTTGCCTTTCCCCCCCTTCTTTCATCCGTTGTATCACCCCCCATGTGTGTGTACAAGGAGGGACCTTTCTTCCATGTATGCAGTCCCTCCTCCTCTCACGTGTGGTGTATGATGGGAGGTCGCTTCAGTCAGAGTTAGGTCAGGTCTTATCTTTGAGTCTTCCACTGTGCGACATTGTGCCATTTTGTATGTATCGGGATGTACATTGCTTGTTGATGCTTCGCTGACATTTGCATTTTCCATTTCAGTCCTTTTCATCACTTTGCGGATCCTTGGCTCCAAACACATTGCCCAACTAGGCATGTGTCAGCTTTTCAAACCCTACGCCCCCATTTTTTCTTTTTTTGGTCTTGTAGTTGTTTTTTTTAAATAAATATGACAATTTCTCGGCCGTGCCCGCCGCAGGTTGCAGACAAAAAGGCGATCGACTGGCCGGGCGGTGCCCTGCAGTCAGGATCCCGACTGCAATCCGAGTTTAACCCTGCAGTCATGACCGTGGGGAATACATAGGGGGAGAGGCCAAGGCAGCCCCCCCCCCCCCGCCCCACACCACCACTACCTTGTGTAAGAGTGATCGTTTTGTCTGTCCATCTTGTTTTCTTTCTGCATTTCTTGTACAACCATGTCATGCTTGCCGGTGACGAGCAACGGGACTGATGCCCCCTCAAATAGATGGGGCATGAGTGGGAAAATAAATAAATAAACATCTGGAAAAAAAAGCTATGTTGTGTACAACCTGTCTCTTATACACATCTAGATGTGTATAAGAGACAGGTGTAAGAGTGATCGTTTTGTCTGTCCATCTTGTTTTCTTTCTGCATTTCTTGTACAACCATGTCATGCTTGCCGGTGACGAGCAACGGGACTGATGCCCCCTCAAATAGATGGGGCATGAGTGGGAAAATAAATAAATAAACATCTGGAAAAAAAAGCTATGTTGTGTACAACTGCAATACAAGTGAATGGCCGTTGGCTCAGTGGTTAGCGCACCCGTTGTAAATGCGCATTGTGGTATATGAGGTTGGGGGTCCAAAACTCCATTGCCTCGCAAATGTATACCGGTAAGCGCTTTCACAACGCACAGCCATTCACCTGTCTCTTATACACATCTAGATGTGTATAAGAGACAGGATATATACAGACACTGCCTGAACACTGCTACTAGAGTCCACACACAGTGAATTTAGACTACAGTAGGGCCCCCCGAGATGGGCCCCGCATAATCCTGCGCATGCACTCGGTGTTACTTCTCATCCCACAGGTATCTCATGATGCCTGTGGGTGGTGCGTCTTCCTGGTTGTGGTCCATGGGAATTCTCATTGGGGGAATTAGTCGGGACTGTATTCTTGGGGAGGTTGGGGTAGGAAGGCATCATGCTTAGAAGGGAGGGGGGGGAAGGGGGGGGCGGGGGAGAGGATATCAGCTCTTAGTGGAAGGGCAGTTCGCTGCCCATAGAGTCTGTGCCCATAGAGTCTGTGGGATGAGGCACAGTTGGGGGTTGACTGCATGTACAATGGTGCCATCCTGAGGTGACTCTGCTTGGGTCCTCGCAATCCCTCGGACCTCCCAATGGATGAGTAGTGTGGGCACCTCCTGAGACCTGGCCACCACCCTCTACTATGCCCTGGACCTTTTTTAAACAAATAAAAGGGAAAAGAAAAGGGAGATGCAATACAAACAATTTTTGGCTGAGGGTCACCTTGGAACTCCTCACAGAACTGAAAATAAGAAAATGAAACTAAGGAAGCCTCCCTTAAACCCTATTTCCCCCTTCCGCCCCGGGCACCATGTCCGCCCCCCGCTTCCCCCCACCTAATGGACAACAATGGAAAAACAAAAAAAAAGAGCCAGGACCTGCGACGCCTTCGGTGAATGAAAAGAAGTATAGAAAAGTTGCGTACGTCTTACATGCCTGGGCCACCCGTTGCTGGCCCCCTGCTGGGCGTCCCCAGAAACCTAGTCCCATACTGACACGGTGAGAGAAAATAGTTGTGGAACCCTTCCTTCGGTGGATAGAGCTTGTCCTTCGGTGTTTGTTTGGATGTCTTGGGCGGGCGCCCTGCTGGGCACCCCCTGGAACCTAGTCCCAGACTTCATTTTTGCAGAACACCATATGATGGCAGAACGAATGGAAATTTGTGACTGGCATTTTCTGCAGATCTCGCAATATTCGTCTGCTGTCCCATATGGTCCCACATGGTCTCACATCATTTCATTTCCTTCTGCAGCATTCACCTCAGATGATGAAGCATACTCACTTCCCCCCTCTTTCAAAAAAAGAGAAAAAGAGATGATTAGAATTTTCCTTCAATGCCTGGGGTCGATCTGGCTCTGGAGATGGTTGGATAGAATCTGGAGTCAGCCAGCTGGGCACCTCTCATCGCTGGCCGTAGGATTGGAAAGCTCTCCTTCTGGAAACCTGTTACCTTGACCAAGCGAACGATTTTTATTTTTTTTTTATTTTTTTTTATTTTWTTATTTTAATTTTATTTTTTTTTGCGAATTTACAACTAATCTATTTGTAATTGGAAGGAAGGCGATCATCTGGGCAGTCTGGATAAGAAGATGCACCTATGAAATGGAAGGCGCATGATTGGATGGGCCAGATTTTACCGATTCTATCAAACAGCAGATTCAAGCAGAAATTATTTGTCTTTTGGGATCACTTGAAAGAAAATATCCAACACTTATCATTACAAAATGAGATCTGGCACCACATTAATTATATCAACAAAAGTTGGCTGGCAGGTGACCAGGGAGGGGGGCTGGGTAGAGTCATTTGGGGAGGTGGACATGCAAATGCTCAGGAACCCATTACAAGGAGCTATCGGCTGGTTTTTAACGACTGGAGTACTGTTGATCCCTCTATCCCTGTAAAGACCTCTCTCTGAATTCCCTGACTTCTTTCCCCCTCCAAGTAACTGCCTTGTACCCGCTGCATGGTATGGTTAGATCCCTTTTGTTCGGTAGAAGAGTAAGTTTTTCTCTGTTGATGGTATTATGGTCACTGCTGGAAAAGTGCTTTCATTTGGTCTTCAAGGTTTTTTGGCGCTCTGATAGGGTAAAGAGGTACTAAGCTAGTTAGTAATTTCATTTGCTACCGGAGGAATGGGGATCAAAGTGCAGATCTATTGGTTTATTGGGATTGGAATCTCGTTGTACCCAAGGGGATGCTGGACCCGCTTTCCAGCAGGTGTTGCTCCCCACCAATAGATTGAAGCCTCACGCAAGTCAAAAAAAAAAAAAAAAACATTCTGAATCTGTCCAGTTGAATTCGGTCCACTTGCATCTGCTATGCTGTGTAGTGGAGTGGGCCCCTATGTTGGAAATGTTATGTCATGGTCAAAGAATGCCAGTTTGCCAGTTGAGGTTGGGCCTCCAGAGTCTCAAAATCCCTTTGCAGAGGAAGGGTTATTAGCATCGTAAGCAAAACATGAATGCTTCAGAACATGAATGCTTCAGAGGGTGCCAGGCAGTTGGACAATGCTGATCGTGATGATGTGTGCATTGAGCAGGCACCAGCAGGATAGGGTTTGCGAGGGCAGAGATGAGGTGCGGACATTCTTTTCCTGCACGAGAGGTGGTGATATGAGGGGTAATGTTGGGGTTTGTGGGGTTTGTGGGGGTAGTGGGGTTGACAGTCGTCCGCAGCTCCACCTGTTGGAGGATTGGGAGGATCTGTGAGCCATGGAAGTGATTGCAATGCAATGATGACACGACGAGGACACGCGCTCGCACCTCCTAGGAGCGCTATGACAGCGACACAATCTCCAAAAGTGGCCCATCTGCTGGGGAAGCGGCCTCGTCCCGCAGCAACCCTTGGTGTAGCTGGCAGCATTTCTCTACGCTGGATGGAGGGCACCTTCTGTGTGGTTCGACAGAATTCAGGGAGTTTGGAGAAAACCAAGGGAGAGGGGACCCATGTCTTAATTCACTGGCTGCAGAAGTCGTACACCTTGAATGTCAGGACGTGGCCAAGGTGCGTTACGTCTGTCACAGGGATGAAAGATCTGCGGATGCTGAATCTGACGGGGAGAGTGCTATCAAAATCTGGTATGCAAATGCTGCCTCACATTTTCCAGCATCTCGGTATCGACTACGATGAGAGAGTCTTGCCTTCGGTCAGACACGAAGTACTCAAGGCTGTTGTGGCGCAATTCAACGCCGGCAAACTTCTCGCGGAGTGGTCATATATATATAAGAGGTCGTTCAAGATGCCCTTACAAGGAGGGCCAAGGATCTCAATATCTTGATGATGTTGCCATTACACATCTATCCTTTGGAGCAGAAGTCTAAAGAGCTATCGAAATGAAGCAAGTCGCCCAACGGGAAGTGGAAAGATCTGTGTTGTGATGAAAGCAGAGCAGGAGAGACAAGCAGCGATTGTCAAGGCTGAGGGAGAGAGCGAAGCAGCAAGATTGATTTCAGAGGCGATGGCTGCTGCGGGGATGGGCCTCCTCGAACTGAGAAGAGCTGAAGCTGCAAGAGAAATCGCCGGAACATTGGCRAAGAGTAGGAATGTGGTCTACTTGCCGTTGGGAATGCCGGCACTGGTCGTACTGACCCAGGCTATGATGGCCACATTGGCCGGCTAAGAAGGAGAGAGTGTTGCTTTCCTACTTCCCTGTCTCTTTTCTCTTCTTTGTTGTGTTTCTTCCGAGTCTGTCGATTAAAAGCTCGACAGCGCATTTGTTTTGCGGTAGTAATTAGGAGTTTTCAATCATCGACCGACTTATGTTGAGTGTTGAGTCAGAAGTTATGTTACTCCTGGGGTAAGAGGAGATGATTCCACAAGCCAAGAAATAATTTGAAGAACCTGATGTAATTGAAGCCAAGAGGGGGAAGGGGTAGGGAGAAGGAAAAACCTGCCAGATCAAGTTTGTTTTGAAACGAGTTGATTTTGAACCGGCACAAGTTTGTTTCGAAATG